AACTGGTCGGGCTCCGGGGGTGTCACTTGGGCTTCGGGTTGTGCATGGTCGGGCTTTGGTTCGTGCATGGTTGTGCTCCAGAGGTTGTTTGTTTGATGTTTGTTTTAAATTGTTTGTTCGGTTCATTCATTCTAGGCTTGCAGTTACACAACTGGTCAGGGTCCGGTTACACAACTGGTCGGGCTCCGGTTACACAACTGGTCGGGCTCCGGTTACATAACTGGTCGGGCTCCGGGGGTGTCACTTGGGCTTCGGGTTGTGCATGGTCGGGCTTCGGTTCATGCATGGTTGTGCTCCAGAGGTTGTTTGTTTGATGTTTGTTTTAAATTGTTTGTTCGGTTCGTTCATTTTAGGATTGCAGTTACACAACTGGTCAGGGTCCGGTTATACAACTGGTCGGGCTTCGGTTACAGAACTGGTCGGGGTCCGGTTACACAACTGGTCGGGCTCCGGTTACACAACTGGTCGGGCTCCGGTTACACAACTGGTCGGGCTCCGGTTACACAACTGGTCGAGCTCCGGTTACACAACTGGTCGGGCTCCGGGGGTGTCACTTGAGCTTCGGGTTGTGCATGGTCGGGCTTCGGTTCATGGATGGTTGTGCTCCAGAGTTGTTTTTTTATGTTTGTTTTAAATTGTTTGTTCGGTTCGTTCATTCTAGGCTTGCAGTTACACAACTGGTCAGGGTCCGGTTACACAACTGGTCGGGCTTCGGTTACACAACTGGTCGGGCTCCGGTTACATAACTGGTCGGGCTCTGGGGGTGTCACTTGGGCTTCAGGTTGTGCATGGTCGGGCTTTGGTTCGTGCATGGTTGTGCTCCAGAGGTTGTTTGTTTTAAATTGTTTGTTCGGTTCGTTCATTCTAGGCTTGCAGTTACACAACTGGTCAGGGTCCGGTTACACAACTGGTCGGGCTTCGGTTACACAACTGGTCGGGCTCCGGTTACATAACTGGTCGGGCTCCGGGGGTGTCACTTGGGCTTCGGGTTGTGCATGGTCGGGCTTCGGTTCATGCATGGTTGTGCTCCAGAGGTTGTTTGTTTGATGTTTGTTTTAAATTGTTTGTTCTGTTCGTTCATTCTAGGCTTGCAGTTACACAACTGGTCAGGGTCCGGTTACACAACTGTTCGGGCTTCGGTTACACAACTGGTCGGGCTCCGGTTACATAACTGGTCGGGCTCCGGGGGTGTCACTTGGGCTTCGGGTTGTGCATGGTCGGGCTTCGGTTCATGCATGGTTGTGCTCCAGAGGTTGTTTTTTTTATGTTTGTTTTAAATTGTTTGTTCGGTTCGTTCATTCTAGGCTTGCAGTTACACAACTGGTCGGGGTCTGGTTACACAACTGGTCGGGCTTCGGTTACACAACTGGTCGGGCTCCGGTTACATAACTGGTCGGGCTCCAGGGGTGTCACTTGGGCTTCGGGTTGTGCATGGTCAGGCTTCGGTTCGTGCATGGTTGTGCTCCAGAGGTTGTTTATTCGGTTCGTTAATGCTAGGCTTGCGGTTACACAACTGGTCGGAGTCCGGTTACACAACTGGTCGGGCTTCGGTTACACAACTGGTCGGGCTCCAGTTACATAACTGGTCAGGCTCCAGTTACACAACTGGTTAGGCTCCGGGATGTCACTTGGGATTCGGGTTGTGCATAGTCTGGCTTTGGTTCGTGTATGCTTGTGCTTCGGATGTTAGTTTGTTCGATTTGTTCATGCTAGGCTTGCGGTTACACAACTGGTCGGGGTCTGGTTACACAACTGGTCGGGCTTCGGTTACACAACTGGTCGGGCTCCGGTTACATAACTGGTCGGGCTCCGGTTACACAACTGGTCGGGCTCCGGTTACGTTACTGGTCGGGCTCCGGGGATGTCACTTGAGCCTCGGGTTGGGGATGGTCGGGCTTCGGTTCGTGCATGGTTGTGCTCCAGAGGTTGTTTATTCGGTTCGTTAATGCTAGGCGTGCGGTTACACAACTGGTTGGGCTCGGGTTACACAACTGGTCGGGCTCGGGTTACACAACTGGTCGGGCTCCGGTTAAATAACTGGTGGGGCTCCGGGGGTGTCACTTGGGCTTCGGGTTGTGCATGGTCGAGCTTCGGTTCGTGCATGGTTGTGCTTCAGATGTTGTTTGTTTTAAATTGTTTGTTCGGTTCGTTCATGCTAGGCTTGCAGTTACACAACTGGTCGGGGTCCGGTTACACAACTGGTTGGGCTCTGGTTACACAACTGGTCGGGCTCTGGTTAAATAACTGGTCGGGCTCTGGTTAAATAACTGGTCGGGCTCTGGTTAAATAACTGGTCGGGCTCTGGTTAAATAACTGGTCGGGCTCTGGTTAAATAACTGGCCAGACTCTGGGGGGGGTGTCACTTGTGCTTCGTGTTTTGCATGGTTGGGATTCGGTTTGCGCATGGTTGTTCTCCAGGGGGTTGTTTTTGTGCTAGTGCTTCATGTTTATTTGCTAGATCATCATCATCATTGTTTCTTTGCTATGGCTGAATGCATGTTTATTTTCTAGAGCTTCATTGATATATTTTTGCAAGAGTTCCAGGTTTCTTTTCTTTATAGGGCTCAATTGTTTTTTGCTTTGGCTCCAAAGGCAAAGGGGGGGGGGGGGACGGTTGTTCGGTAGAGCTAAGGAAGAGTTTGTTTGGTAGAGCTAGGGATGTAGGTTCGGTTGGGCTCTGGGGCTGTTTGTTTGGCTTGATGTGGGATGCGATGTTTGGTTGCTAGGCTTGCAGTTACACAACTGGTTGGGGTCCTGTTACACAATTGGTGGGGATTCGGTTACATAACTGGTCGGGCTCCGGTTACACAACTGGTCGGGTTCCGGTTACATTACTGGTCGGGCTCCGGGGGTGTCACTTGGGCTTCGGGTTGTGCATAGTCAGGCTTCGGTTCGTGCATGGTTGTGCTCCAGAGGTTGTTTATTCGGTTCATTAATGCTAGGCTTGTGGTTACACAACTGGTCGGGGTACGGTTACACAACTGGTCGGGCTTCGGTTACACAACTGGTCGGGCTCCGGTTACATAACTGGTCGGGCTCCGGTTACATAACTGGTCGGGCTCCGGTTACACAACTGGTCGGGCTCCGGTTACGTTACTGGTCGGGCTCCGGGGGTGTCACTTGAGCTTCGGGTTACCTTACCTTGACCTTACCTTGAGGTGCTTCCGGGGCTTAGCGTCCCCGCGGCCCGGTCGTCGACCAGGCCTCCTGGTTGTGCATATTCGGGCTTCGGTTCGTGCATGGTAGTGCTTCAGAGGTTTTGTTTGGTTCGTTCATGCTAGGCTTGCAATTACACAACTGGTCGGGGTCTATTTACACAATTGGTCAGTCTGGTTACACAACTGGTCGGGGTCCAGTTACACAACTGGTCGGGGCTTCATCTCGACGTCTACGACACTGCTGTTACCAGGACTACTTAATAAATATGAAACTCGCTAAACACTGTATCTAATCAACCCAACAACGTAACATAATCGTTCGTTACACAATAAACTACCACTCTCTGGTTGAATAGGGGATGCTTAATGAACTATCTGCCTCTGGCGGCAAGAAATCAATGAAGTATGCAACTATTTTCTATTTGCAAACATTGCAAATAATCCAATGGATTATTGCAGTTGTATTGTTTGCACCATCTTGAGTCTATTCGTTCTGTAATAAGAGACAATTAAAGCCCTCGTTGATAGATAATACTAAGATATACGCAGTAAATGTTGGATTTATAGATAGAGCTAGTACATACAATACCTAAAGCCACTAGTACGCATAGCGCTTTGGGCAAGGTGAGGCCGTGGGGAAAAATTTTGGAAATGGGAATTTTAGTGTAGATATTTTGATATGATTTTGCAATGTGAAAGATGTTAAGACAAACTTATTTAATTCATTCAATTGTATACGGATAAATCGCCTCGCATATCTGAAAAATACTTTTGTATTATTATAATATAATACACTCATGTGCCATGTTATTATTCACAATTTTTACTTATTCTCAATTTCTAATGGGCGTTTTATTATCTTGGCAGACGAGAACCGAAGCGAACACACGCCAGCGCATATATGTGTTATATATGCGTTTTTGATCGAAGATCTTGATAATCTACAACTGTGAAGACGTGGAAGGACTCTACATCCATTATGCTTCATACAGTAAATATTGGTAACTTATCCTATTATTTTTTTTATATATATATATATATATATATATATATATATATATATATATATATATATATATATATATATATATATATATATATATATATATATATATATATATATATATATATATATATATATATATATATATATATATATATATATATATATATATATGATATATGTAAATATATATATATATATATATGATATATATATATGATATATGATATATATATGATATATGATATATATATATATATATATATATATATATATATATATATATATATATATGATATATATATATATATATATATATATATATATATATATATATATATATATATATATATATATATATATATATATATATATATATATATATATATATATATATATATATATATATCATATATATATATATATATCATATATATATATATATATATCATATATATCATATATCATATATATATCATATATATATCATATATCATATATATATCATATATATATCATATATCATATATATATCATATATATATCATATATCATATATATATCATATATTTACATATATCATATATATATATATATATATATATATATATATATATATATATATATATATATATATATATATATATATATATATATAAAGTGTGTGTGTGAGCAGAAATAACATTAATAAAACAATTAACATCTTGACAAAATACAATTAATGCAAAATACAATTACTCTGTCAAAATATATTACTTAAAAAACAGTATCAGTCACTAAACAAAAAATTGGGCTACTCTTATTACAAATTCGCTACTTTTAGACCGTCAACTCGCTAGTTTCAGCAGTTTGGATGTGGCAACCCTGTGTGTGTTGTGTTGTGCTACGGGCGACGACGATCGTGCCTGCGTCTGCACCATCCCTGTGTGAGTGTGTGAGTGGCCAGCACGTGGTGACCACAGTCAATACAACCCTGTGTGAGTGACCAGCCCCTGAGCCCGTGGTGACCACAGTCAATACACACCACCACCATGGTGCCCACCTTCAAGAAGGCCGTTGGAGTAGCACTCGGGAGCTGGAATCCTCTACAGGTAAGTTTGTGTTAGTTTTTTATTTTAATTAAAGTAACATTTTTAGTAACGTACTGGAAAGGGTAATGTTCCTGTCCAAGGACCTTTCCAGTCATTTTTATTGCTGATGTTAACATTGTCTATCTGAAGTTGAATTTCATTTGATGATTTACTTCCAAATAAAATGTAGTAGGTCTTTTCTGTGTTTAGTGTGAGTTTGTTGGTTGACATCCATGAGTGGACTTTTTTCTTTTTCAATTCGTTATTAACATTATTTAGTGTCTGGGTTGGGGTCAGAATAGATCTTGAGGTTATCTCGAGATGATTTCGGGACTTAGTCCCCACGGCCCGGTCTTCGACCAGGCCTCAGTTTTGTTACACACCCCCAGGAAGCAGCCCGTAGCAGCTGTCTAACTCCCAGGTACCTATTTACTGCTAGTTAACAGGACATCATAGTGAAAGAAACATTTTGCCCATTTGTCTCCGCCTCCACCAGGGATCGAACCCGGAACCTCAGGACTATGAATCCGAAATGCTGTCCACTCAGCTGTCAGGCGCCCTAGATGAAGATAGTATCGTCAGCAAGTAGTATAGGCTTAAAAATGTTACACATATGACAGATCAGTAATGTTTAAAAGAAATAGAGATACTAAGATGCTGCCCTGTGGCACTCCTACTGTTAATGGTAGAGTGGGGAAGGTTATGTTATTGATGTCTACATATTGGCATCTGTCACCGAGATAGGAACGAATATAGTTCAGGGCAAGGCCTCGGATTCCATAATGGTGAAGTTAAATAAAAGGTAGTTATGGTTTAAACAGAATAATGTGCCAATACATATGCAGTACTGTACTTTTGACTTAAATTGTGTTAGTTGGGTGCTCAAAATGCATTTAATGTAGTGAGTGTTGCAGGCTGCATATAGAAGGGTGGTGGACAACACATGGTTCGCAGGCTGTATGTTTAACCCTGCTATGCCATATTATATCATACTGCAATAATGTCCTCTTTTTAACAGTGCAGTAAGTACCATGCTATTTATGGCTTCTTTATGAATGACTGTAATATACTAATAAAACAATGTGGCTGCTCTGTATCTTGATAGTAACTCAGCATCACAGAGAAGAAAAGGAAATTTTTTCTTTTATGATGCGTCAAAGATTTTTACTTTATATTTTAATAATTTTATCAAATAATTGAGTGTATAGGATATAGACATATTAAACTAATCATTGTCTTTAAAGTCATCATTTAATTCAGTATTTGGCGAATAATTACTTTAGACTTTTTACTCCTAGACCTATTATTGTATTTTTCAGTTTGCTGTTCAACAAGAAGCAGGTGGCAAGGAGAGTGCGGCCATAGCTGAATGGATGGTTGGCATCATTGAACAGTATTTCTATGACAATGGTGAGACTACACCAACTATATTCATTAATTTATTTTCTTCAGAAATGCTAAGGAAATTATAACTTTTTACATATTGTGTTCACTTTTAACAGATGAATGACTATTTTGAATCTATCTATTTTTTCTGTATATCACTGGGAACATGCTAAAGTCAACTCTTTCAAATACCTTGCATTTTACAATACTGTTTATGGTGTGGTGTTAAAAGATTGAGCACATAAATGTATTTATATGGTGTAATATTTAGCCATGATGAAGGCATGAGCAGGGCAAAGGAATTTAATGCACCCTCCCAAATCTCCCTGTAATGGACCCCTTTAAACAGGGGACCAAATCTGCCCAATGGATTTTCCCTCCATGAAGTAATTTCTATCAAATTGTATTTTCTGGTAAGGATCCACTTGTGGTTGATTGTGGTTGTGGAACCCTGATTAGGCTTCAGTGGAAGCCTCAGGAACCCTAGAAGATTCGGTTGAATCCCAGGTTGCAATGAATTTACCATGCTGTGGTGTAATGGTCTAGAGCGTGCCTGGAAATTCAAGCGCATAAGGTTTGAATCTAGTTTCTCATGGCTCTTACTGATTTTCTATAAATACATTATGTGCATGTGATTTCTTTGTGTAGTAAACTGGGTCTTTGATAATGTCTGGCTTTTGTGAGAGCTGTATTGAAGCTCAACAGAGATACAGTACAGTATTTGTAATGCAAAGCCGTATGCTCTGTGATTGCCTCGGTTGGTCAGAAATTGAGAGATGTGGTATAAAATGGAGAATGGTTTGATGCGGCTATGTCTAGGTACCTGACTGACCTTAAACCTCACCCTAATATTTCCACCTCTTCAACATTTCTAACCACTTCTTGCTGTGATGAAGCATATACTTCCATACTGTTCATTAGAAATAATAAGGTTCACACCCCTGCAATACATCAGCTTTCCTTTCTAAGTATTTTCATTTACCCATGTTTTGGCAAGGTGCAGAAATGTTAATTTTTTAGTTAAACAAATTTATAACAGAGTCCCTCATTTGAAATTTGGCTAAATATTTGTTCAGCTGCATGAGCAGGTTTTTTTAAGTAATTTTTCAAATTCTTGTCTTGGCAGAGGATCTTGAACCTGAAGAAGTTGCAGATTATCTAGCAACAATAATGGATCAAGAACTGAATACTCTTGTCGATGACGAGTCTGATGTAGAGGTGAGTCTCACATGTTGCTTTTTGTAATTAGACAGCGAGTGATAGGGTATAACATGCTAGTGTGTCAAAAATCTCCCACATTTTGATCTGCTTAATCCATCCTTCCCAAGAAAATCCCTAAGCCTTCGTAATCAGCTTTTCATAAATCTGGCATCCTAATGGTTTACTCTTTCACAATTTTTCCTTACTATGTTAATCCGATTTCTTTGTGATAACTGTGCTAAAGCTCATTTGTAATGATAATATTGTAATGATGTATATGGTAACCACTAGTTGGTGTAGTTAAAAAAATCCTGCTGTCATTTCACGATTGCTTACTATGTAAATGTAGTTATCACAAAATGTTACTAAGCCGACAGTCTGTCCTTGTTAGCTTTATGCCGTGGCACACTACCCTCACTTATCAGAGCTAGGGTTTTTTCAGGCACACTTATCCTTAACTTTTAACTTGCAAACTTATATTTTCAGGCAAGATAATCGTCAGTATTACTTTCCAAATGTCCCTCAGTATCACTTGTCCCCTAGACAGAATTCATGGCGTATCCAGTAGCTTTGATGTCAGTCACCTTGTCTTTTTGCTATTGTATTAGCATCCTTAATTATATTTAGCTATTTTTTAATATTCCAGAGAAGAACAGTGTCTTTCTAGGTTGGTGCCTTCTTTTGATACTTACCTACTTAGCTTTTTCACTGGGCCCTAGTTTTATTTTATCACGTGTGCGATATTTATCATTTAAAGAGTGCAACAACTTTGCACCATTCATACAGGTTATTTGTGCTTTGAAATAGTAAGTACTGTACTGTAATGCAAAAGTATAAGGAAAACAAATTACATAATGCAAATTACTGTAATGCAAAGTATAACAAAAGCAAATTACATTGTATTTCATTTCTAGATTGGGAAGTGCCTGTGTCATCTCTATCAGCTGTGTGTGGCAGGCAATGATGCACAGGTGATGGATGAGTTATCCAAAATGCCAAAGTGTGATTTGTCTCTCTGTAGGATACAAGAACAACCTGATGTGGAAAATGAAGTAAGTCTATACTGTGTTTATAGGTTTGTAATTACCTAAATATAGTTACAGGATGAAAACTACGCTTGTAGTGTCCCGTCTTCCCAGTACTCTGTCGTATAATGCTTTGAAACTTCTGACGGTTTTGGCCTCCACCACCACCTCACTTAGCTTGTTCCAACTGTCTACCACTCGGTTTGCAAAAGAAAAGTTTCTAATATTTTTTGGCACTTGTTTCTTTAACTCAAATCTGTGTCCACTTGTTCGTGAAGTTGCTGGTTTCAGGAATCTCTTTGTCACTTTGGTAGATTCCTGTTAGTATTTTGTAAGTGGTGATCGTATCTCCTCTTTTTTTTCTATCTTCTACTTTTAGTATGTTTAACGCATCCAGTTTCTCTTTGTACCTCTTGGTTTTTCAGTTCCAGAAGCCATTTTGTAGCATGCATTGCACCTTTTCCAGTTTGAGCTTCTTGAGATTTGGGCACCATACAACTACTGCATATTTCAATTTTGGTCTCACAAAAGTCATGAACAGTTTCTTTAGTATTTCACCATCCATATAATCAAAAGCAAGTCTGAAGTTGGAAAGCGAGGCATACGCTCCTCTCAGTGTTCTTTATGTAGTCCTCTGGTGACAACTTACTATTCATAACCACCCCCTAGGCCTCTTTCTTTATTAGAGTTCTGTAATTCCTTTCCACATAATTTGTAAGTTGTGCGTGGTCTATTTTCTCCAGTTCCACATTCCATAACATGGTATTTATTCACATTGAATTCCATTTGACGCTTGTCACTCCAAGCACTTATCTAGATCAATTTGAAGGGTATTACAATCATCTGCATCTCCTATCTTTCCCCAGTATCTTGGCATCATCCACAAACATGTTCATATAATTCTGTATTCCTTCTGGTAGATCGTTAATGTAGACGGTAAACATAATTGGTGCAAGAACTGAACCCTGTGATACTCCGCTAGTAACACACTTCCAGTCAGATACATTGTCTCTGATTGTCCTCATCTGTCTGTCAGAAAATTTTTCATCCATGTCAGAAGTAGTCTTTCTGCCATGCATGGAAGACTACTTCTCACCCCTCACCCCTCCAGCATGTTCCAGTTTCCAGAATAGTTTCTTGTGTGGGAACTATCAAATGCCTTTTTTAGGTCCAGACAGACCAGTCAACCTAACCACCTCTTTCCTGTAGTATCTCTGTGGCTTTATCATAAAAAAAACTGAGATTTGTTACGCAAGATATTCCTGTTCGAAAACCATACTTGTACTGTCTGTCCGTTATTATGTCATTACTCTCTAGGTCTTCAACCCATTTGGATTTAACTATATTTTTCTAGTATTTTGACTACCACGCTTGTTAATGATACAGGTCTGTAATTTAGAGGCTCCTCTCGACTACCATTTTTTAAAGATTGGTACTATGCTTGCCTTTTTCCATATATCTGCTAAGATTCCTGTGCACAAGATGTCTGAAATATTAATTGGAGTGGAATGCTCACCTTGGTTGCACATTCTAGCAGCACCCGAGGTGAAACTCCATCAGGTCTAACCGCTTTTTCTTACTAGCCTCATGAGTAATTTTTTCACTGTCTTAAGATACAGTACCTCTTATGTATTCTATGGTGTGTTTTGGAATTGGTATTTGGTTCGGCTCTCTGAAATCTTCATTTTGTACAAACATACTTTGGAACTGTTCATTTAGCATTTCACACATTTTTATTTTCAATAGTCCTGTTCCCCATTCTCAGTCTTCGGATTTTACCCATTACATGCAGTTTGGTTTTAATGAATTTCTAGAAAAGGCCTGGATCTCTTACATTTGTCTGCTATACCTTTCTCAGTTCTTTTCTGCCCCCTCTCCTCACCGCTGTGTAATTTTCTTGCTTGTATTGCTGTTATGTTTGCGGGTAAGGCCTCTTCCACTATCGAATCCATTTTCTTGTCTTGTCCTCTCTGGCACCCCTCGCAATTTCTGCTGAACCAATCCTGCTTCCTTGTCCTTCCTCTGTTTTGGTATGAATGTCTGTGTTCATCATATACTGTATTTTGCAAAATTTGGCATACATCTCCATTAGATTCTCTGGGATCATTCTTAGAGCAAAATCTATGCCAATTTTAAATACTGATTTCAGTGCCTTTGTCCATGGTGTGCCACTTCAAATTTATAATTTATTAATTAATTAATTTAGCATTTGTTACAAAAGGTCATAATGTTTCAACCAACTTCCAATCATTGTCTCCTTCACCAAACTTCATATCTTCCTTTTTTTTTGTTTAACATTTATTCATCATGTTTTTATACTGCTTTTATTTTTAATTTACGTAGTGCCTAGGGTGACCAGTACACTACTGTATTTCAGATACATAGTTGAGACTAGTACTGTGGTATAAACTTGCACACAGCAGTTTTTTCATTTTTAACAGGCTTCTTTCATAGAATCTTAAGTCTTACTACTATATTATATTTCTGAATTTGGCAGTAGTTTACATGAACACACTATATATATATAGCTACTTCTGAATAGTACTATCATTCTGTTTAACAGGATAATGCACCTCTGTTGGTTGCTGCTCATATGAGCGGACTGCAGCTGAACGAAGGCGATAAACTGTCAGCCAACACCTGTAACGGCCAGACTCCAAAAGAACTTACTGACTTGGAACGGCAGCACCTTGAAGATGAGAAGGATGGCTGGACTGTCATACGAAAAGGAAACAAGAGACAATAAAATATTTTAATAAATAGTAAATAAACAAAATGTTTTTCTTACTATATATATATTTATTTAGTAAGTATAATTTTACCTTCAGTCAAGTGATGACTGCTTCCTTAACTATGCTCATACATGTGCACACACGCACATATGACACTAATAAACTCATCTCAAAGCTTTACATGGCACAGACATTAATAAATGCAGTACATTAAATTACTAAGCAACAAATAATGATGCACATTTATGTAAAGCATAATTTAATATATTTAGTACAATGCTAAAAAATCGGTTTGATGGTTCTGCATAACGAATAACAACGCTGCTCGTTTTATTGTTTCGGCAGATAAAATATTTGTGAACACATAAGTACCAGTATTTATAGTGTAAGCAGTCCTGCTTTAAATGTTAATTGTAAGTACAGTCCTTAACAGGCTTTGCAGAATTCTATTAAATGATTGGCAATTGCATAAGAATAATATACATTATACATCTTTTATTTGGTTATGCAAAATAGATTATTTATCTGTAAATAAATATTCCTACCATAAGCTATACACATTCTGCACAAGTACTGTACAGCATTACACACAAATTGGCACATCTTAAAAGGCAAAAACTTGAACTTGCATTATTTTCATACATTTTAAGTGACTTTGTGTAGGATTTCATCCAGGAACCACTTTATCTCTGACCATCATAATCATGTTGAGGAATCTATAACTCGTATAAGACTAACACACTCACATTTGCTGTATGCCATCATTATTACACAGTATTGCTATTTGCAGATGTCCTCCTAATAGATGTAACATATTTGGACGTAATGGTAGTCTTTGGTTTATTAAACATTCAAAACAATGCAGGGTCTGCAAACTCGAGGGAGGCAGGGAATCGCTGCAAAAGTCTGCAGGGACAGACTTTGTCCCAAGCTCACTAGTTTTGAAACCTGTGGTGGTGTTGGATTTTATCACAAAGGGGATGGAAATCTGGAAAGTGACTTGTTGGCAAGTACAATCTTAGGGGTGTGGTTATAGCAACACTAGGTAGGCAGAATATTAACATCAGAATACTGTAATAACATTACAGCATGTTCCATCATTTTAAATATTAGTTAATAAAAGTATACAGTACTGTACTTTTATGTTTACATAATTGTTGTGCAGGGTTTTTGTATATTTCTTCATAAGTTTGGTTCATATATTTAAATACTGGCTAGTCACATGCAGCTTGTATAATTTTACTAATTGTCTTCCCTTTTATTTATTATGTTGTTGCTAGATGGCAAGTATTTGCTTATTGGTCTGTCCTGTCCCTATGTTCAGTGTCTGACAAACTTCAAGAGGGATGAAAGTGCTCAATTCATTATTTAATTTTTATTTTGTGTATGTATTTCTAAAGTCACACATTTTTGTGAGTTTTTAGGAAAGCTAATGTAGTCGTAATGGATTAGCGCCTTCTGATATTTACCTTACCTACGTACATATCAGTAACACGGACATTAATGGAAGTGTTTAGTAACTCAACATTTCTAAAGCCATAATAATCTGGTAGGTCAGAGACTCAAGTTAAGGAATATGAATCTAGTTTCTTGGTCCAGCTGATTATCCAGGTTTAAAGACTTTCAAAATGCTTCTAGCAAATATTCCTTCTGCAAAGCAATTTGCTGCTTGATGTACAGTTTCACCTGTATGATGGAAGTTATGAAATCACAAAAGCATTTTTTTGTCTTGAGTTTTAAAGATGAAGACTATATCAGTGCAATAAAAAAACTTGCATGGCAGTAATAGTTGGCAATTACGTTAAAACTTGCACCATTCACCAACAGCAGCAAGTCTGTCTATTTTTAATGCTAAAACATTTTACACAGGTCAAAGTAAACAAAAATTTGAAGGAGGATTTCTTAATACAGTACTGTATTGCCACCCTAATGCTGCATTGCTCTAGAAAATTTAATAGAATGTTATGTATCCGAGTTGATGTTCCACGTATAAGTGGAGTTACAGTCTGACGAGACTAATAAAATAATTTTGAATAACATTGAAGTGGTTAGACTATATATGCTCTACTTAATGAACACATGAAACCAATATAATAATAGAAGGAATTACTTCTAAAGCTACATTTTGTAATATTCACTCTTGCAGCTTTGGAGAACTGCATTAAAGTCATGGGTTTGCATAATAACTTAGTGTATAACTTCTTTTCAGCTTAAATATACTTAAAGCCATCAGTAGGCAGGCAGTGAGTCTATAGACATTCAACTATTATACTAACAAACTTCTTCATTAATGTTAAGCTTATTTTAATTACATGTACTCTTTCTTTATTGTATTCTAAATTTCTTTTAACACCACTGAAAATTTGGAAATTTTCTTCACTTTGTTGTCACCAGCTAAGCAGTGACACTTCATTTATTTTACCATATGTTCTATGTGTTGTACATGTAATTTCTGTAGTTTATGTTGAGGCAGAATTTGTGCAGCATGGTGATAAATACTGCACTTTCTTTACACACATTTAAATTATCAATGGCAAAAATTAAGCACTTAGCTGTTTTCCAAGGAGTCAGTGTTTAATTGACACTAGTATCCACTAAGGAAAGTTCAGCTGTCCATTTAAGGACTCTGCAGATTATATAAGGAGATGCAGCCCTGCTTAAAGGGCAACTCTGCTTCTCCAAGATGTCAGAGTTCTGTTAAGGTGACTGCTGATGTCAGCTGCTTATGAAGGGACACTTGGCTGCTATCCACAGGGATGAATGTTCAGCTGTCTTCCACAGGAATGTCAGCTCGGTCACGGTGGTCAGGGTGAGTGTAAGGCAGCACTGAAATAAATGTGAAGAAGCTTTATCATATTATAAAACAAAACTTGTTGATGTTCACATTGACCAAAACTACATGAAGTTTCAAATTGAGGAGGTCCTAAATGCTAACAACAATGATGTTGTATAACCTAATTGGGAGAAAAATTAACTGGTAACACAGTATTCTGTACTGAGACTAGCTTTCTCAAATCAATCACCTTGGACTGTCACTTTTCCATTCAGGGGTACAGTAGTATGTTTTGAGGGCAGTTAGCCATACATTAGTACCCTTGGGTGTTTGCTCACCCCTACCACAAAAAATTACAGAGCCCTTAGTTGTTTGCTCACCAAAGCACAACAATTACAAAATAATATCACTATAAATCTGTTAAATTACATTAATGACTATCTTGATTCTCCTCTCCTGTGATTTTCTGCATAAATGTTTTGATACTGTATGCAGTGATACCTCAGTTAGGTACTTTAAATTAATTCATTCAACAAAGCTGTTTGAATACCAACTAAATTTGTTTTCCATAAGGAATAATGTATACTGTATTAGATTAATCTGTTTCAGCCCCCAAAAATACACTTATCAAGGCATCTTTATTTGAATTTAACTGGAAGTTTACAAGCCTGGCATGCAAACCTAAACACAATAAATAGATGAAATAAATTCAAATATATTCTCACTTTATCTGTACTCAAAAGAGTTGATGGTATATGTGGAAAGTGGTGGGGAAGAGATGTGTTATTGTTTGGCAGGGGTACCTGCCAATGATACCCTGTACAATAATTGTTTTTGCCTGCGTTTTAAAATCTTTCTAAAGTGAGACAGCATTGTCATTGAACAGGTTTATAACACTGCTTGCCACAGCTAGGGACATCCTCCCTTCTCTCCTCTTCCTCTAAAGACAATTCTTCAACTGCCATGTGTTGTGACACACTTTTGTACGGTCAAATGTTGAGCAAGTGATCAGCATTTTTGTTCTAAAATAAAGTGCTTGAGTGCCAAATTGCGTAAATTTCGAGCCATTCAAGGGCAGACGTATCATTGTATTGCTAAATAGAATCTGATGCAGCAATTTTGTATTTAGTATCATGCATGATGTGTACAATAAAACTGTTTTTACAGATATGATAACCTTGAATGGTTTCATGGCAAATTCATCATTAACAAAATTATATAATTCTGTTAACTATTAATGTTCTTAAGTCATATACTGGGTTTTGACTGCACACACCCTAAGAGGAGGACAATTATTTTACATCACATGTGAGCTGGGTTATGATTATTAGAACTTTGGTGCTTACTGCACTCTGATTCCAGAAGTTAAACTAGAAAAATAGGGAATATCAATGGTGAAAACTTAAATATGAGCATCTAAAAAATATTTGGCATCTTTAAGCACCCAAAGGTACTACAGTAATGCAGAGTTAAGTACGATCTGTAAAGCGGCCGTTTTTCTGGCCAAATTATAGGATAGTGTTCCATCTTCTTGGAATAAACCCTGTGGTATTGAGACAGATTCTGTCTACTCCATTCTCGCCCTTTTCTGTAGCAGAGAATTGTGAACCTAACTCAAAGATTAGGAAAAATACTGATATTGTGCTTATACAGCTCCAACGGCCTCATTATTGACGTGCCAGAAAAACTATGCATCATTTAACCAAGTTCTCGGAACAGAACTGTCAAGCAATTTAAAAATATGTATACTTTTAGATTTACTTTTAAAGTGTACTGTACACTACACAAAACAAAATTCAGCATTTCATCTCTACAATAGTCAGGCAATGATATAGAAGAAGTGTTTGTGGCACTCACCATCTCTCTCCTGACACTTGGGGCCAAGCCAGCCAGGGGGACAGGTGCACTGGCCAGTAGCAGGATCACAGGTGGCACCATTGTGGCACTCACACTCTTGTTCACACTTGGGACCATACCTTCCAGCACTACACTCTGCAATATTTAATGGTGGGTTGAAATAACAAAATATTTTATGGACAAGAAAATAAGTACAGGTATGGGAATTATAAATGACATTGCATTCAGAAATATGCACAGTATCTTTATTTCCCACCCATCCTTCAAAAATAATAGTACTATGCTATGAATAGTACGACTGCTATGAATGGAATCTACAAATTATGGGCTGTTGTCCTAAAAGTTGATGCTTTGTGGTACACCTATTAGAATTTAAAGAAAGCCAGACTAATTATCAACCTGTCTTAGTCCTAAATAATTTTGGCTAATTAAGGCCTAATTAACACTTTCAGGGGCCCCATGCCACATATTCCATCATAAAACCAAATTACAGAGTATACCCAACGATGCAAATGGAAAAGGAAAAGTTTGGTTTGAGTTTTCCTTCTCTATTGGGCTCTTATATAATTATTTGCAATATTTTTTTATAGTGCATTGGTCTATATTTTCAACATTCCATCCATAGTTACTGCAGGTATGATTTGGATTGCAAGTTGCCTGCTGCACACAGTTCCAGAGGTAAGAAATGTACTACATAGAAAATCTGATATTAATACAGTACTTGTACGAGACATTTTAATTGGCAGACAATTACTAATGACACTGGCAAAACTCACGCCGGGTACAGAGCGGCCCCATGAGGCCAGGGGGACACAGGCACTCTCCGGTGTCCCTACGACATTGGTAGGGCCCACACTGGCACTCCTCTTCACACCCAGGTCCAAATGTTCCTGCAGGGAGGAAGAGAATTTCGGTATTTAAAACAAAATCGTAAATAGTTAGTCTAGTTTCAAGACGTAATGGATAACTAAGAATGTCTTAAAATAACAATGGGTAGTTTTACTTTGTTGCAATTGTATGAAGATACTTTGTTGCAACTGTATAAAAATATTGTAGTATAGATAAACAAACAAAATTCTGGTCAACAAAGTAGCCAGGTGTGGGCCCTCACCTTCTGGGCAGATAAGGTCACATGTGGGACCTGTGAAGCCTGGAGCACAGTGACACTTGCCCGTGCTGGGGTCACACGTAGCACTATGTTGGCACTCGCAGACACCGGTACAGTACACGCCGTAAAAGCCAGGTGGACACACTGCCAGGTAAGTGGTTGTTACTAGAGTTTACACTTCCACAATTTATGTTGATAAAGAGTGATAGCAATGGAGCTGTAATTTACTAATTCATTTAATACTATAATGAAAAATAATACAGTATATTGGAATTAAATATAAATCATTATACAGTATATCTTAACTTTTATAGTAATACAGTATATTTTGACAGTGAACATTAATTGTTGTATAGCAGAGAATATTGGGAAGCTGTATAGGAAGAGGTAAAAGATATTAAATGATTCATGTTACAGTACTTACTGCACACAGTATCACAGAGGATCAGTACTACCACAGTAGTAAATCCTCATCACCACCATTCTTATTAATAAAACTAGATGTACAGTGCTCCTCATGATTTATTGTATACCAACATTCCCCCCTCACTCTTCTTGCAAACATCTGCCACGTTGCTCTCTTTCTACCTACATCCCTGGTGTTGTTTTCACTTAACCCTTTTGCTGCAATAGTCAACAATATAAATAGTTGCTTAGACTTTTACTACTTTCACTCATCAGATTTTCTAAGGATTCTTTCTATCTGCTACATCAATTAGCAGGTAGATGTTTAAAGATGTTTGGGAAATGTAATTAGTTAATTGGCTATTGCACCAGTCTTTTTTACAAAAGAACCTTATTTTATAAGGAAACACATTTCTGACTCCTCGTTCACTCTTTTTTTTTTACTTAACCATTTTTTTACCTACCATTTACTCTCAGAATCTTTGTATTTTCTTGGTTCTTTTTATCCTCAGAATCCTCAACTTTCTCATTATCAAGTATTTTCCTACTGGGTTTCTCCAAACAATTCCACTCATTCTACCAATTTATACAACACCACAAACTGGTTGATTATTCCCCTTGCTTCAAGATCACTCTGAACTCTCCTTTAATACTCATTGATCAACTCTTGGTCTGCCAAATTTGTAAATCTGAAAAGCAGCTACATACAAAAGATGTTTTGAATAACCTTAAGTTCCAGAGCTTGGTCATGGCCCCAAATCCTTCAACATGATAATACAAGATAGATTTGAAGAAATTTGTATTTATGATAATACAAGATAGATTTGAAGAAAAAAATGCCAAACCAGAATAGATGTACTTTTAGTTTCAGTGACATACCCAGCTCACAGTAGCGGCCATAGCGCCCAGGACCACACTCGCAGCACCCCGAGAATCGGTCACAGGTGGTGTTGGCATGACAGGCACAGTCGAGGCTGCAGTGAGGGCCATATCTTCCTGGTTCACACTCCAAGTCGCAGTTCTTGCCTGTCCATCCCAGCCCACACTGACATTCGCCCGTTGCTGATAGAAGGTAGAGCATTATGTTCTCAGAAGAATAAATACTGTATATAAATGTACAGTATTGCTGTAAGCCAGCTAAAAAATTTAAATTGCTAAAGCATTAATATATAAGTAAGATATTACAAACACAAGCAGCTCTTGAATTCACAGTTATGTAACCATAATCCCAAAGTAATGTGGCTCATGAATAACAAAACATTGTATTAAGAATATAATTCAGAAGTCTAGTTTGATTGTACAGTACAGTATCCTGCTACAAAATAGTCTGCCCGAAACATTATGCGTGCTATATGTAGATGTGGTGTTGGCGCCCGTTGCGTGCAGGCAGCCTCCGATCTGTGCTCCTGGCCATACAAACCCATACATTGCTAGTTGAGGCCTTTTATGAAGGTGTTTGAGATGCAATGCAATGCAATGAGAGATTGCTAACCAAATAATTACTGCCTAGCCAAAAGCATGGCTCTGTCATTCCATTCAGTTACTAGTTATGCACCTATTCACTGCTAAAAGAGGAGTCATGAAGTGATAGCAACCATTTCCAAATGTCTCCATCCTGCACAAGACTTGAATTCTTTACCTCTTAGTTGTGGACAAGCAGCAATGAATATTGCATTACATTAGCATAATACAAATTTGCATTAATTAAGTTTATGTAATGCATGAAAAGTAACACCATTTTAAATTTGGTCTCAACTTTGATGTTATACTTACTTTGGTTTATATGTACTCCAAGCATCATATAATTAATGTAACATTAAAATACGTACCATACGATTATCACTCACCTGGGTGACAGATGGCATCATTTTGGCACTGACATTTGAATGCACAGGCAAGGCCCCAAGTGTTGTTTGGACAGGTATGTTGACAGCGAGGGCCCATGTATCCTGCAGGACACCGGCATTCCCCAGCCTCGCTACATACACCTCCGTGCTCACACTCACACCTCTGGCTCCCATAGTAAACAAACAAAAGAATATAAGAACATAAGAATGAAGGTAACTGCAGAAGGCTTACTGGCCCCATACGAGGCAGTTTCTATTTATAACCACCCAATCTCATTCATACATGTCTAACCTATGCTTAAAACAATCAAGGGATCTTACTTCTATTATGTTACGCGGTAATTGGTTCCACCAATCAACATTCCTGTTACCGAACCAGTATTTACCCAGGTCTTTCCTATATCGAAACTTATACCCAGTGTTTAGTGTGCTGTCTTTTAATACCCTATTAATATCCCCTTTGTTATGGCCATTCATCCACTTGTACACCTATATCATGTCACCCCCTAATTCTTCGCCATACTATAGAATGTCATTAAAGCTTAATCAATCATTCTTCATATGACAGGTTTTTAATTTGGGGGGATTAACTGTCATCCTACACTGGATGCATTCTAGTGAATTTATATCCATTCTATAGTACGGCGACCAAAACTGAATTGCATAATCTAAATGGGGCCCAACCAGAGCAAGATATAGCTAAAATTGTTTCATAAGACACCAAGTGTGTTATGACCAACGCTTTGATAAATAAATCCCTGCGTCTTATTTGCCTTATTACGAACTAAACATCAGTTTCATCATCACTAATATACATATATCACTTCACTTCATCATTAATATATAAATAACATTTATCAAATTAACTGATGGTTATATTCAATTTAAATTGGTTTTATATTTTCTTGCTGATTAAAGGTAAAGAAAGGCAGACAATATACTGTAATTAAAAATAATTAAGTGTAGATAGTTATTGAAATAATCTTTGTTGCAGTATTATACTTTATACTTATACTTTTATACTTTATTTTACACTCATCTGGCATGCAGACATAATCAGGAGCAAACCCCTAGTAGCAGGAGTCTTGACACAAGCTGTCGTTAGAACAGCATTGCCACCTGGCACTCTACTCACCAACTTGATCAATGGAAATTCTGGAATATCAGTATACGGTACAGTATACAAGTTGTCTTTAAAATTATCATAAATATTTTACTCTATCGCTGTTGATCCATGCCACATTCTTAGCCTCACTACCCTGCCCAACTTGAAATGTGCCTTAGCACAGCAGAAGAAAATCTCACCTGATGGCAGTGAGTGTTGTTGTCATGGGTGAGGCAGGCGAGGTGACAAGTGGGGCCGTAGAAACCCGGGGGACAAGTGCACTGACCAGTCACTGGATCGCATGTACCTCCATTGCCACACTGACACTTCTGCAGATCCAGGGGGTGAAACAGGGGAGTTTAATATAACTAGCAAAGACAGCATCAAGTAATATGGAATAAATGTTGTCAATTTTATTTTCTATAAACAGCTCTCAAGAAATATTTATTTGGCTGGATTATATGACACTTCTCTCTTTTACCACTACATTTTTCCTCCTCCCACTCGGTCTCTTCGTCCCTTTCTTCCCTATACCTTGCTCTCCTCTTTCTATCTTCCAAATTAACTTTTCCTTCCCCCTTTAATTACTGCTCCATTCCTATCATTGTCTGTGTATCCCTCCCCCTCTCCATTCTCCAGCCCACCTGCTTGCAGCCCACTCCATAACGGCCCTGAGGACACAATCTTCTACAGTGTCGTCCACGGCGTCCAGCAGGGCAGTAGCAGGTGCCATTGATGGGGTCGCAGAGGGCCGACTCTGGGCACTGGCACTCCTGCAAGCACTCCTTTCCCCACCACCCTTCCTCACAGTCTGTAGGGAAGGAAGGGATGAGAGCTGCAGTTTGACACGGCTGGCTCAGAGTTTATTTGTACCTCGGTGCAATGTAATTGAATGTTTACATTTAGTAATCTTGCATTACTATTAAAGCATGAATAAATGTAAAACTAATTCCTAAATAACTGAATCGGTGTAGGAAGAGGCCTAACCCTAAAACCTACCAGCAATACAAACAAGCGAGAAAACTCCATGGCAGTGAGAAGAGAGGCAGAAGAAACTGAGAAAGGGATTGTGGAGTCATTACAAGCCAATTGCATGTAAATGATACAGTTTAGAGATTGGAAATGGGAAACAGATTCACAGAGAATGAAAAAGAAATGTGGGAAACACTAAGCGAAGTTCCAAAGTGTGTTTGTGCAAAATGAAGACTTCAGAGAACCAGATAATACTAACGTCAGAGACTACCATAGAGTACACAAGAGGTGATGCAAGATGAAATGGAAAATATACTGAAGGAGCTAGGTAAATACAAGGCAGTGGGCCCATATGGAGTTTCACCTTTGGAACCGAGAGAACACAAATTTGAGCTCAGCACTCTACATACTTCAATTGATTTTTCAGTCGTGTGTGTACAGGAGTCTTAGCAGATACAGTATATGGAAAAAGGCAAACATAGTCTAATCTACAAAAATAATAGCAGGGGAGGCAATCTTTATTATAGACTTGTATTGCTGACAAGTAGTCAAAATATTGAAAAAAATAATTAAAATCAAATGGGCAGAGCACCCGAGAAAAATTGTATAATAACAGACTCAGTATGTTTTTAAATGGGAAAATCTTGTGTAACAAATTTACTTAGTTTCTAATTAATATAGTCACAGATTTTACAAGAGTGAGATGGTTGGGTTGACTGCATTTATCTGGACCTAAAAAAGTGTTACAACAGTGTCCCACATAAGAGGTTCTGGAAACTGCAACATGCTGGAGGGGATGGCACTTCTGCCATGGATGAAAACATTTTTTAACTGAAAGAAAAATGAGGGCAGTAATTAGAGAATGTATGAGACTGGATAAGCATTACTAGTGGAGTACCACAGAGGTCAGGGTTTTCTGGAAAGAAAACTGTCACCTGAGGCAAGTTGACAGTTTTCTATCCAGGAGAAAGCATTAAGCCACTACGACTATACAGCTCCCGTGCACCACGTAAACAACATTATGCAAGGTTCACAATAAAGAATACCAAACTTTCCAACTATATAATTACTTTTAAATACTGTACATGGATGGCAAAATATATAAACAACAAAAATCACATCCTTTGTGAGACCAAAATTGTAATATGCAGTGGTTGTATGGTGCCCATATATCAGTAGTACATCAATAAATTGGAAAACGTGCAAAGATATGCAACTACTGTACTGTAAATGGCCTTCGGGACTAAATAGCAAGAGCCATGAGGAGAGGTTAGAGGTGTTTAAGGACCTGCCCGAAGTGTTAGTGGCTTTGCAAGAATGTAATACTCACTAGTGTATGTACTCTCACAACCCGATGTACCTACCTGTATATAAATACAAATAACTGTGTCCGGGTACTCACACTCTTGGCACTGTTGCCCTCGGCGCCCTGGAGGACACATGCACGCGCCGGACACATGGTCACACGGCTGGCCTGGCCCACACCTGCACCTTTCCCTGCACTCCTCCCCGTAGAAACCAGCAGGACACACTGTCCAGACACATGGAGGATACATGGAAGATATAGTAGGAAAGGAGGAGCGGGGGGGAGGGAAGAAGGATACAGTGATCGTTGGAAAGACACAGAAGCATGGGTTGGTGTCAGTACACAGGTGGATGAATATGTGGACACGTGTAATGATGGTCAGGACACAGATGAGCGGGGATGGACACGTGTGTGGTGGTCAAGACACAGGTGGGGGGGAGGCCCATGATAGCCAGGACACAGGTGGGGGGGAGGCACATGATAGCCAGGACACAGGTGGGGGGGAGGCCCATGATAGCCAGGACACAGGTGGGGGGAGGCCCATGATAGCCAGGACACAGGTGGGGGGGAGGCCCATGATAGCCAGGACACAGGTGGGGGGGAGGCCCATGATAGCCAGGACACAGGTGGGGGGGAGGCACATGATAGCCAGGACACAGGTTACCAGAGAACACAGACCATTAACGATAATAGGTTTATCAGGACACAGCAATCATGTAAACAAAGTTATTATATTACCATGGATGAAATCCGCTATAATGGTTTCAAAGACTATGATATATCACATTAGAAAATATATAATATCAGTAAACCACGCTTATTTAAACAACACTTAGATTATAACCCATCCTTTTAAGAGAGACTAGTGCGCTCAACGAACCTGTTTGGCACCTGTCACCCGTGAAGCCTCGAGGACACTGACACTGACCAGTGACGTGATGACAGGTGGCACCGTGGTCACAGTCGCACACACCTCCACACTCATCTCCCCACGACCCTGCAAAAGACCAAAACACACACACACATGTAGCTGTGGCTACCTGGCGATGCTTCCTGGCACCCATGGAGCACGATCCAATTCTGAATCAAGCGAGCATTAAACTCAGAACCCCCATTATATTTAGTGTTGTGACCCGCTCAATAAGTTCAAGGGTCACATGGACTCGACCTTGTGACAAGGTGGTCGCTGCCATAGGTCTTGTACTGACCTTGGTGACAGGGCTTGTTGCAGTGTTGTCCACGCCAGCCGGGGGCACACACGCAGGCACCCGTGACGGCGTCGCAGCTCCCGCCGTTCTGACATTGGCACTCACTTAGGCACTCGAGACCGTACTTGCCTGAACTGCATTCTGAAGAACGGTGCGATCATAAACAGACACGTATGTACAGTCCAGGGGCATGCCGCCACTGGTGGCTGGCTGTATATGACATAGTATTTCAAGAAAACAGGTATTGGCAATTTCAAGGCAACTGACCCATTTGGCACATAGTTCCCGTATAACCCGGAGGACAGATGCAGACGCCAGTGTCGTGATGGCAAGTGGCATTATGGAGGCAGGTGCATTTGTAGTGACATCTTTCGCCATAGGTCCCTGCGGGGCATCTGTCTTGGCACCTGGCGCCAGTGTAGCCAGGGAGGCAAACACAAGCCCCAGACACACGGTCGCACGTGCCTCCGTTGTGGCAGAGACACGTGTGCTGGCAGCTGTCTCCCCACCGGTCCGGCGGGCACACTGCACGGAACGAACCGGTAAGGTAAGGGAACGGAATTATCAGGAGAAAGTGCTAACTATACTGCATTTGGTAAGGATACGAGGACAGGGATTTAGGTTGGGACGGAGAGAAGGAATGGTGCCCAACCACTTGGACGGTCGGGGATTGAGTGCCGACCTGCAAGAAGTGAGACCGTCGCTCTACCGTTCAGTCCAAGTGGCTGGACAGCTGGTGAGATAGTAAGCACACAAGACAATGTTGTGCGCACACACACACACACACACACACACACACACACACACACACACACACACACACACACACACACACACACAGACATACACACACACACACACACACGGTAAGGATCAGGCGGGATCCAAGAGTCAATGCTCGATCCTGCAGACACAACTAGGTGAGTACACACGAGTTCTTACAATTTTATAAAGCCACTAGCACGCACAGCGTTTCGGGCAGCATAGCTATGTGAAGGGAGCTAAGTGACAACTATGTCACATAGTTGCATTGTTTTGAGCACATCTGCTTTATTCAGAGAGTAACTTAACATTAATTATTACAGATAAGTACTAAACCCCCATTATTGTACTCTGGTATATCTTGGCTTCTAAAGACTCACTCTGGATGCAGTGGTGGCCGTGCCGGCCCGGGGGGCACCTGCAGGCACCTGTCACAGGGTCACATGTGGCCCCGGCGACACACACACACCGCTGGAGGCACCCAGGACCCCAGGACTCCGGGGCACACGGCTCCGAGCACTCCACACCTCCCCATCCTGCACAGGAGAGGTCACAGGCCATTACTAAACATATGTACTAGTACTGGATGTCAAGTTGAATCAAAAATACAAATGGATGTTAATTATGGGAATTTTTTATAATAGATAAATAATTACACAAAGAGAAGGTCAATATATAACATCAACTTAACATAAGAATATAGAAGATTCTATAATCAACTTAACAAAAGAATATCAATTCTATTTAATTTGTATGACAATGAAAGAGACGCACCAGGAAGGCAGACGCAGGCGCCGGTGGAGGGGTCACACTGGGCACCCTGGCCGCAGGTGCAGAACTGTCTACACCCGGCACCGTAGCGGCCCTCGGCACACCCTGACACAACAACACGCCTCTTGTCTTTATTATTCCTCTATGTTCATACATTTTAGCATTTGTTAGATGTGCAAAGGGTGATATTTAGTGATATATGGAAACATGAAAAAAAGAATTACATGGGAACACTGAGATACTCACGGAGGGAACAGTCTCGCCCAGTCCACCCGGGGTCACATTGGCACTGCCCCGTCACCCGGTCACAAGGAGCACCGTCGGGGCACTGGCACATGAAGGCACAATCGGGTCCATGGAGTCCCGGGGGGCACGGCTGGCCACAGTAGTGCCCCGTGAAGCCTGGGCCACACTCGCACCTGGCAGAGCAGCAGGAGAGGTGTCAGCGTGGAGACTACTGTGAGGACAGGCAGCACTTGGCTCCCACAGTCCTCTCACACCATTGCATCATGGTAAATTAAAAACAAAATACGTAATTATATAAAATAGCATTCCGGAAATGTGGCCGTTTGATCTTGAAAAACAGTTTCAAGATTTGTTTTAAGATTTATTACCTACAATTCTTATTAAAACTGTTACAGCTCCTGATCCCTATTTGTTTTTGGAATCAGTCGTTATACAATAACTTGCAACCCTAGCGTACTCTATTATACATTTAAGAGTACGGGTGAAGTTTGCCTCCACTACCTTGTTTTATAAGTGATTCCACTTACCCAGTGTCCATAAAGAGATCTACTTGGTGCGGGTCGTACCTGCCTGTGACGGGGTTGCAGGAGGCGCCGTTAAGACACCTGCACGTCAGTCGGCAGTCCTTCCCCCAGCGGCCGGCGCTGCACGGCTCCTCACACTCCTCGCCCTACAGGAGGAACACACCACAATAACATTACAGCCAGCACGGTAAGGTATCTCCCTACCAACACGAAATGATTTAAGAAAATGCCAAAATAACTTTAATGTATTTTAGGTAGTTCGGAGACAGCGCCTTACCATGAATCCTGGGGGACAGAGGCACTCGCCGGAGACGCGGTCGCAGGTGGCGTTCCCGTGACACTGGCACTGCTTCAGGCAGCTCTCTCCCCAGCGGCCCTCCTCGCAGCCTGTAGCATCACACAGGGAGAAGGAGCTACCGTTACTAACACTGTTGAGTTGTTGTTATGACCGAACCTGCTCATGCCGCGGGGGTATATACCTAGATGGTGGTATTCAGGACCAAAGAGCCAGAGCTCAACCCCCGCAAACACAACTAGGTGAGTACAACCGTATTACTGCCTGAAGAGGTTAATCATCTTACATCAAGGCCAGACAACTTTCTCAGGGGTTATAGTCTGTGCGCCGATTGGGTTAGTCTTTGTATATAATTGTTAGTCATCGTACTCAAGGGATAGATATATTACTAGAGTGTTAGTCCAGTTACAAAGATTAGTAATTTAACTCGTGGAGTCAGTGTTGTACTCAAGGAATTAGCAATCGTATACAGAGATTAATTGTGCTTAAGGGAAAGTCCTTCTACTCAAAGAGTTTAGTCATCATACTCCTGTGTTAATCGTCGTGCTCGAAGTAGCAGCTGTCATGCTCAAGGTGTTACTTATTGTACCGAAGGAGTAAGCCGAAATTGTCAGAAATCAACAAAACCAGCCGATGCTGTCCAGCAGCGGTGGCTTCCACAAGACCACAGACCTGCTGCAAGCCTTACTTACGCTGAAGGCAGAGAGGTCCGTGGGAGCCTGACGGACACCTGCAGTCTCCGGTGGCAGGGTCACACGGTCGGTCTTCGCACTGGCAGGCCTCCACGCACCCAGGCCCGAACTGACCTTCGTCACACGCTGCGCCCCAATACCACCGTCACTCATTGACACATTCCCAAATAGCTTTTTAGACATATATTAGGCCTAGTTGTGTTGTAGCATTGTGGTGTTTATGTAACTTTAATTGGCTAGTGATGTATTTGTGTGAGTATAGTATGTGTCATGTATGTATATATGTCTTCCTTTGGATGATACCCTCGCTCTCTATTGGTAGCAACGGGGACAAGTCCGCTGGCTTGAGAGTCGCTCGTTCTTGAAGATTTTTTCAGATGTATTTTGAAATACATCTCATACCTGTATTTCCCTACCTATTGTGGTGCAGATCTGCTTATATTATATTATCTATATCTATATTTATCTATATGTTGAAAACACGAGGAGATGCAGACTGCAAATTTCGAACCCAACTCGGGATCCTCTTCAGTAGTTAGCACTACTAAAGAGGACTAAATACTGTAGATCCCTACCGGTAGGTATCCTCTTAGATACATCCTAAGAGGATCCCTACCCAAGGAGGGATCCTAAGGAGGCTTTGAGGAGAGGTTAAGATCCTCCTCTTATATGTCTTACATAGACTGTATACTGTATTTCGATCCCGGGATTGGGATGGACATATATAGTCTACTATGTATAGATTATTTAAGACACTGGTGAGAGCAAAGTGAGAAACAAGCAACACAATAAGAAAGGTGATGAGAGCAGTAATAACTTGAGTAAGAGGAAGGGAAGACAACGCTGTGGATCCACAACTAAAACATCTTCATCATCTTGTGTGTCTTTCATGAATAAATGTTTGGAGTAGGAATGCAAGAGCTGGTGCACACGACCTTCCCTCAGTGTGAGGTCGTCAGCAGCAGCGACGACTCCACCTGTCTCTCCACGACCCTCATTGGTCACCTGTGTCTCTCCACGACCCTCACTGGTCACCTGTGTCTCTCCACGACCCTCACTGGTCACCTGTGTCTCTCCACGACCCTCACTGGTCACCTGTGTCTCTCCACGACCCTCACTGGTCACCTGTGTCTCTCCACGACCCTCACTGGTCACCTGTGTCTCTCCACGACCCTCACTGGTCACCTGTGTCTCTCCACGACCCTCACTGGTCACCTGTGTCTCTCCACGACCCTCACTGGTCACCTGTATCTCTCCACGACCCTCACTGGTCACCTGTGTCTCTCCACGACCCTCACTGGTCACCTGTGTCTCTCCACGACCCTCACTGGTCACCTGTGTCTCTCCACGACCCTCACTGGTCACCTGTGTCTCTCCACGACCCTCACTGGTCACCTGTGTCTCTCCACGACCCTCACTGGTCACCTGTGTCTCTCCACGACCCTCACTGGTCACCTGTGTCTCTCCACGACCCTCACTGGTCACCTGTGTCTCTCCACGACCCTCACTGGTCACCTGTGTCTCTCCACGACCCTCACTGGTCACCTGTGTCTCTCCACGACCCTCACTGGTCACCTGTGTCTCTCCACGACCCTCACTGGTCACCTGTGTCTCTCCACGACCCTCACTGGTCACCTGTATCTCTCCACGACCCTCACTGGTCACCTGTGTCGTGTCTAATACAGGCGTGGACCAAGGACACACACCACATTAGTTCATTACTTTGGGTGTGTGTCTGGCAGTGTCGACAACTTGGGTATTAAACAGTGTTACAAACTTACGTGTCTTACAGTCGTGTCCTGTGAGTCCCGGCGGGCAGTCGTGGATACAGGTTCCCGTGGCACCGTGGCACGTGGCACCATTGTCACACTGGCACTTGTGGCGGCACCCGGCGCCCCAGTGCCCAGCCGGGCACTCGTCGGAACAGTCGACGCCCACATACCCGGGACGGCACTCGCACACTCCTGTCTGAGAGAGTGCCAGTCTTACACTGATTTATATTGCAAGTGATCTGTACACAGGTTTATTAGAGACTACGGAGTGATGGTTACCCGGCGCTGCCCGGGTCTGACTGCCTGTCTCCCCCTCCTCTCTACCTGTATGTATGAATGAATGAATGTATGAATCTTCTCTCTCTCTCTCTCTCTCCGTTCTCTCAAGTTCTCAAGCTCTCTAGCTATCTCACAATATCTATCTAGCTATATCTCTTTTTAGGCATCTAAAAAGTATTTAGCTATCTCTATCTACCCCTTTGTCCTCGTCCTCCCCCTTTCCCCTTCCTCCCTCTTCACTCCCATCTACCCAAATCCCCCCCCCTCCTTCTTTCCACCCTTCCCCTCCAACCTTGAACAGGCAGACATTCAATTTACACACAGTAAATAACAAAAATGTGCGGGTAAACGGCGGGAGTTACAGGCCGGACAACACAACTCACCGTCTTTTTCATACTTCATGAAAATCGCTCGGCAGGAGTGTTGGGTTTCAGGCTATATTTCTTAAAACATTTGACGTGGGTCTACCCCGACCTTCCTATGTCCGTCCCATACCTCAAACCCTTTATCCTACAAATTTCGGAGAGTCTAGCTCTGTCTGCCTTCCAACTTTGCACAGAAACATTCTCTTTTTACAGCACGGATGTGGCTGGTGTGAGCAGGTGTACAGCTGCTGGCGTGAGCAGATGTATAAATAATGTGATATCATTGTATAATATATAACGACAAGTAAACATAGCTTAAAATACCAACTTATGACATCTTATATAGGTAGAATGTATTTATTATTCATTTTTAAAACCCAGATTCTCATGTTGACGTTTGTGTGGTCCTCAGTCTCCCCGCCTCGCACCGCCACCTCATAATTACTGGTGACAAGGTCGGTCAGGGGTATACACTCAGAGGGGTATATACACAGAGGTATACACACTGAGAGGGATATATACACAGAGAGGAGTACCCCTGGTATGTGTGGCGGGAAGAGAAACAAGCGTGTGGCCCACGTGGCGTTTATTTACAAGACACGATGATATTTACAATGACGTCACATCCGGGTATAGGTGCCATGAACATAAATATTATATACCTTAATCCTAACAACCCCGTTTCTCTGTATATATATATATTTACAGAGTTTACTCTGCAGTTTGATCTAGTCTTCAACCATGTTGAGAATTAAAACACTTTTTGGCTGGTCAATAAACTATTGTGGAGGCCTTAATAACCCTCCAGAGGTTGACTGGCCTTAGGTCCACCTTATACCTTATACAGGCTCGTACAGTCAGTGGTGCAGGTGCCTCTAGATGGCACCACCAGTGGTGCAGGTGCCTCTAGATGGCACCACCAGTGGTGCAGGTGCCTCTGGATGGCACCACCAGTGGTGCAGGTCTTACCTCTGGGTGGCACAGGTCAGTTGAGCGGATCTGGCAGTGGCACTGGTCGCGGCAGTTGGCCCCCCAGGTGAAGGCTGGACAGGGACTGTTGCAGGTGGGGCCGATGCGGCCCGGACCGCACTCACAGAAGCCGAAGTGCTTGTTGCAGCGGTTGTTGGGGCATGGCATGGGGCACCTTCGACGACACGTGCCACCATAGTACCCTGCAACACATCGTACCCTTTACTCTGCCTGCTCCACTCTCATCACCAACTCTATTCATGACCTTGTGCCCTAACTTTGTAAATAAAATCCAGTAATTACTGTCATTTATATAATAATACATCATTCACGTTCAAGTTCATATATTTTTTAAGTTCAACTTGTTCACCCGCAGTACTGTATTTGGTTCAGTTTGTGGTACAAAAAATCGAAATTTGACTTCATCTCCAAATGTGATATTACTTTTGTACAAGTCGAGAACATAACTCAGACATTTTCAAGGAGTGCAGAGCATAGAAATGGTTGGGACTACTGATAGGCTGTCACTGAGGCAGGATAGGCTGTCACTGAGGCAGGATAGGCTGTCACTGAGGCAGGATAGGCTGTCACTGAGGCAGGATAGGCTGTCACTGAGGCAGGATAGGCTGTCACTGAGGCAGGATAGGCTGTCACTGAGGCAGGATAGGCTGTCACTGAGGCAGGATAGGCTGTCACCGAGGCAAAGAAATAGATAGAAAAAAGGCATTTAAATGAACAGACGTACAGTAAGGCAGGCGGACATACAACAAGACAGGTTTGGACAGACCTGCGGGGCAGCCGTCCTGACAGAAGTCCCCGGAGACACCTGGAGGACAGGTGCACGACCCGCTCACAGCATCACAGGTGCCTCCATTCTGGCACTGGCACACCTAAGGGAAAAGGTAACTGTCACCTGAAAAGTTAACATCTGTGAAGGGGGAGGGGTATTTAGACAGTAACAATGATCGATCACCAAGACAGGGAGACAGTTATCTCACATTCGCTTACTTTTGACAGTCAGCCCTCGGCTAGTGATATGTTGCATAACCTGACAACTCTAAGGCAGTAACAGAGCCTGATTGCCGGCACTTACCTGCTGGCACCCTGACCCATAGAAACCCTGTTGACATGGCTGCTGACAAGTGATGCCCTGTGTGCCTGGAGGACACAGGCACCCTTCCTCACCACACTCCCCGGGGCACTCTGCACACCTCACCTTGCATCCTGGACCAGACACTCCCTCCGGACACACTTCTGGTAACACAAAGGAGACGGTCGTGTGTGTATGGAGAAAGAAAAAAAATGGCTCAGTTGCCCACAACTGTTGATTTGCAACAAACAATAAGACATCTGACGAGCTTCCAAATTATATGTTTATTATTTTAAGATTTGTGTCAAATGTGGGAATTATTAAGAGTGCCTAGTGGCATGGCGACTGACTTTGGTGTACTGTAGTGAGGTTGATGGAGTGTTCAGCGATGGTCACCAGGTTGTTATCACGCTCCTCTTCCGTTGTCGGTGGCACCTCTTCCATATCTTTCGGGGTAGTGGTCTCCTCTCCCCCTGATGGTACATGCGATCCCACCTTTGACATTTCCTTTTCCTCCTTTATGTCCTCCTCTTCGTCCATCCTCCACTTTTCTTCATCTATCCCCCACCTGCCTTCGTCTATCTGCAGAGTTTCTTCGTCAGTTTCCCAGAGCGGCGTCACCTCCGGCACGAGGACATCCGGAGGTGTGGTGCGGGTCGCGGCCACCACCGTCACATTGGTCTCCTCCACCCTCCAGTGCTCTCTGTCCCCCTCCGCCCTTCCCGCCGGCCCTCCATCTTCTAATGAAGCATTTTGCTCCACAAACCACCGTCTTCGTTCCTGTTTTTGGTTTGTTTTCCACCCATCTCCTCCTCCTCCTCCTCTTCCTTCATCTGGTCTTGCACCGTTCCTGTCCCATCTTCTCTCGTCTGTTTGGTCTGTGCGCCAATTACCGTCTGCCCCTCCCGGCCTCCTCCCTCTGTCTCCTGTTTCACTTCGATTTAAGCTCCACCATTTTGTTTCATCTACTCTATCTATTCTCCATCGTCTATCTTCATCTGGTGGGCTTATGTCCTCCGCATTCCATCCTCTATTCACATCTATTCGGTCCGTTCTCTGACCTCTATCTCTTCCTCCTCCCGACCTTTCTCCACTTGTCTCCCATCGCCTATCTTGGTTAGTCTCTAAAGCCTTCTCGTTTGTTGTCCATCCACCATCTTCCTTAGGCCCCTCGAAATTGTCATTGCCCCAGCGTCGCCTCTCGTCCACGCTCCACCTACGGTCTTCCTCCTCTTCCTCCTTCGTCGTCCGTCCTCCTCCCACACTCTCCAGGTCGTTCTCCATCTTTGAAATGTCCTCTTCCGCTCCCGAGAGGTCGTCCTCCACCAGCAGCAAGTCGTTCTCTATCATTTCAAGGTCAACTTTTGGCGTGTGATCGTCGAAGCGTCTGGGAGGAACTGAAAGAGAAGCAGGTACTATATTAAATGTTTTCTTAAACCGCAAAACGTGTAAAAAAAAGTCAGTAGATGTTTTACAAAAAAAGGAGGAAATAAACTAATGTTATTTTATAATTTTTAATTTATTTTTTGAGTTGTGTTAACTGTGAAGGGTTAAGGAGTGTGAGAGCGGCCGCGGCCGAGGGTCTGACCGTCCAGCTATGCAAGATGAACACTAACTGACCGACGCATATAAGCTGCGTCCTCAAGGAGGAATGACACAGGAGGAAAGATCTTTCCTCTGCGAAGATGGCTGGTGAAGGTGGAGTTGGAGCTCAAATACTGTGTGGAGGGGGAGGTATTGTTGTCTTGGAGGGGGCGCGGAAGGAAAAGTTCTCCCGGGGCGAAAGCTGATTTGTTTCACTGTGAGAGTGGATGGGGTTACTTGGACCCTGGAGAGGAGAGTAGGGTATGAGTACACAACTACAATAGTCTAGACTAACCCACACAGCGGGTGTCGTCCACCAGGGTGTACCCACTGCCGCAGGAGCAGGTAAAGGAGCCCTGGGTGTTGGTGCAGTAGTGGTCGCAGCCTCCCCGCCCGAGGCTACACTCGTCCACATCTGTCAATACAAAGATGCTAAGAGCTTCCAAAAGTGTCTTTAGTTCAAATATTATGCACCCCATAAACACCCTGTGAGAGGTAGGGGAAAAGTTACAGAGGCACATAATAAGTTCAGGAACTGAACCCATTATGTGCATCCGAACCCCAAATTTGTCTTGCTAAGTTACAGTACTGATGAACTTAGTTATATGTAGTTCATATATGTGAATGAACACACATGTGCTTACCTAATCAGTAACTAGAGGGAAGTGAGATCTTAATCTTTATGCTCTGCCTGTTGGCCATTTATACCTAGCATTCTAATTACCTCTCTCAGCATTAACATTTTCATCATATTTCTTTTAAAATATTTCTTTGTTTATATATTTATTTTGTTTAAAAATATTTTGTTTAAAATATTTGTTTGAAAAAAATATAATAACAAAAACAAACAAAATATTTGTTTGAAAAAAATATTTTTGTTTAAAATATTTTTGTTTAAAATACTTTGTTTAAAATATTTCTTTGTTTATATATTTAAATATTTCTTTGTTTTTGTTTATAGGGGCCTCGTAGCCTGGTGGATAGCGCGCAGGATTCGTAATTCTGTGCCGCGGGTTCGATTCCCGCACGAGGCAGAAACAAATGGGCAAAAGTTTCTTTCACCCTGAATGACCCTGTTACCTAGCAGTAAATAGGTACCTGGGAGTTAGTCAGCTGGCTTCCTGGGGGTGGAGGCCTGGTCGAGGACCGGGCCGCGGGGACACTAAAAGCCCCGAAATCATCTCAAGATAACCTCAAGATACACACTAAATACACACCATACGATACTGAATACACAGGGTAGACAACTAAGCAGGAAGGAAGACACAATTGATTACCCACCTGTACAGGAGAAGCCGTCGCTGCTGAGGGTGTAGCCGGAGGCGCAGGCACAGGTGTACCCTGCCGGGGTGTTAGTACACTGCTGCTGGCACCTGTGTCCCCCCACCAGGCACTCGTTCACGTCCTGCGGGCGACAACATCAGTGGCACTCAGCCCCGCCACATTACAATAATCATGATATTACTTGTTGTAACTGCAGAGGTTTGACAGATTAACTGGTGATTGTAAACAAATGCAAGTCAGCTGATGGATTATGGATTAGTCTGCACCAAAGGAACAGCCAGCAAGAGTAAGTGAGGATGGACAGACAAACATGAGCTTCAAAGTGATGTACACAAACATAGATGGGATTACGAATAAAATAAGTGAACTTGTAGAAAGGATACAAGAAGAAAACCCAGATGTAATAGCACTCACAGAAACAAAACTCTCAGGCATCATAACAAATGCAGTGTTTCCACAGGACTACTACATAGTAAGGAGAGAGAGGGAGGGAAGAGAAGAAGGAGAAATGGCAATGCTGATAAAGAAAAGAGGAACATCCCAGGATGTAAAGATTTCAGAGACTACATAGCAGGCACTATGACAATGGGAGGACCAAGGAACTGAACCTCACGACACTGGAAGACAGAAGAGGTAGGGGAGACATGATCAATACCTACAATATTTTCAAAGGAATTGACAGGGTAGATAAACTGTTTAAGACGGGTGGTAGGCAAACAAGGGGACAGGTGGAAACTGAGTACCCAAATGAGCAACAGAGACATTAGAAATAACTTTTTCAATGTCAGAGTAGTTAACAGATGAAATGCATTCGGCAGTGATGTGGTGGAGGCTGACTCCATACACAGTTTCAAGTGTAGATATGATAAGAGGCCAGTAGGCTCAGGAATCTGTACACCAGTTGATTGACAGTGGAGAGGCGGGACCAAAGAGCCATAGCTCAACCCCCGCAAGCACAACTAGACGAGTACAACTAGGTGAGTACACACACAGCCACCCGTGACCCACGAAATGATGTCAAAAAGTGACGGTAGGAAGTCCGGGCTGGCCTGCCTGCGCGGTAAGGTGGTGGCCGCTCTAGAGGCGGGAAGCGTGTCATGTTACCCCCACGCCAACACCAGCATATACTGACCACACACATCACACGCCACCCTTCAAGCTGCCACGTGACAACGCACAACCACTCCCACACCACACGTCACTCATCACGAGTGACACTAACCCAGTATCTCGTCACTCACAGTCATGGAACAGGCTCTTCTTCCCTCCAGAACACTGTCTCTGGCCTCTACACACGTGACACTACACAGTATTTGCCATCAAGCACGAACACTGAAATGTCTCCCGCATCCGTTTGATGATGCCTTGAAGTGTAATCCAATCGCTGTATATCTAATCACATCTACACAGGTGTTGTGGCCACAATATATGCTGTACACCTAAGGTAAACCCCGTGTCTGGTGCAGCTGCCTCCCTCCACACCCACCCTGGTCATGGCCCTGAATACCGTCCCACGTGGCGCCAGCCGGCGTCACGAGATTAATTTGTTCAACTACAGACCTCTTAACCTATCAGGGTATACTAGGCCTACTCAAGGTGGCTTTCATTGCTGGGGACTATAGTGCCTTATTTCCGCTAAGAACTTTGTACGCGCGTCTCATCAACGGTTTCCACTAGGCCTGTTTTGTCATGCTGTGCTTGTGCAGTGTACGGGGGGAGGGGGGGGGGTGGTATTGGGGTCAGTGAGAACATCATCCTGACCTAAGGTTGACCCCGGACGCCCCACACAGCCAGAAATCCCCCTCGCTATGTGGTCCTCTTCCCTGGTAGTAATCAGCTCTCATTGACTCCCGCTCAATGAGATGGCGCAGGCCAACATAATTAGCATATCTGAAACCAGCACAAAAAAGCAGTCATGCGACGCCACACATGAACCTCCCCGACCAAGCACAAGTTAAACATTGCAAGCAAAATTGCATGCAAGTCCCAACAGGAGCTTGGGGTGGAAACGTCACGCTCTCACGCTCAGTGGTCAAAACAAGACTGGAATGGATCCTGGCAAAACACTGCTAACAAAGATTATTATGCTCGATGCTGTCATTCCTATAATCCTTATGCATCTCCTCCAGCAGTTACCTAGCAATCTACCTCTCATGTATCACTCTGATACCTTTTATGTCTCTCAACTCTATCTATGCTTCAATTTCTAACTTATCCTGCAATCTGTACTAGCTTTTTGTGTTCGCTTTCTCAGTTCTCTTGACTTTAATATCAGGCTGAGGCTCCATCTGCCTTCACTCCCGTGTCCCCCCCACGCTGTACCTCGCTCCCACACTCCCCAGGGGCTCTCCGTGTTCACTCTCACCCCCGCCCTCCTCTGCACCCCCGTGTTCATTCACATACACACATGTTCAAAACAAACCATGTGTGGCTCGACGCAACATTCCATCACTGACGTCACTTGTACCTTAATATCTATCTCAAGCATTATATCTGACAGGTACCGTGAGAGAGGGGAGGTACTCACCTGACAGGTCTTGCCATCCTGCTGGAGGCTGTAGCCAGGGTGGCAGCTGCAGACTGCTCCTGAGACGTGGTCATGGCGACACAGGTGTCCACAGCCGCCGTTGTTGACGAGGCAAGCGTTGACCTCCTCCACCTCTGACGACCCCACAGTGGCGCGGGGCGGGGCGGGGCGGGGGGGAGGAAGAG